ACTCCCAGTACAACATACCGGCCAAATACGACTACGACTACACTGTACTCCGACTCCAGGATAAGATTCAGACGGCAGCCACCATTAAGACCATTGAGTTGATCGACGCGACTCCGGCCGCCGGATCTAAAGCCCAACTGACCGGTTGGGGGCGGACTGTGGGCAGCGATTCCAACTCATCCCCGGCTAAGTTACAGTACGCGGAGTTCACACTAATTACTCGCGAGGAATGCCAACGAAGAAGTAATAATGTCTTCAATCCCCCGCCGACAGTCACCACACAAATGATTTGCGCCGAGAATAAGGCCGCCTCCGGGTGTATGGTATGTCCACTCGTGCCTAATATTCATTGAATGTATTGATTAATAAATATATTCTCTAATCTATCCAAAGGGTGATTCCGGTGGACCCCTAGTAGTCAGTGGCAAACTGGCGGGCATTGTCTCGTGGGGCGCCGGCACCTGTCCCCCAGACACTACTGTTTACCCCACAGCCTATGCAGATGTTGGCGCTCAGAGGGCATGGCTGCAGTCAAATATAGTCTAAATCGGATACAAATGGATAAACGGCTTGTTAACGGACCACTCAATTGAAACAATAGATTATTAAATGATAACTATTTATGAAACCAAACATACATTATATTTATAAATTATAATCTTATTTTGTCTTTCAATAAATCGCATAACAATTCATAAAATTAAAACCGATTTTAACTTATTTTAACCAAATACAATGTTTTTAATTAAGTTTAAATTAATATAAATTAATTTAAACAAATTTTATTTTCTTACAAATATTTCATATGAAAAATAATATAATGAAACAAAACTTTAATAATTATTTTGTACGATTTAGTCGAGAACAATTTCTTGCAGTTTTAATCCTTTTGAACATCTTTTTGCTCATTGTTTGTCCCAAATCCATGCTCTGAAGGGTTGGAAAAAACGGTAATATTTGGACGGCTTCGTCATAATTGGATACATGTCTTAAGACCTAATAGATATTATATATGAAAAGTTAGAAAGGATCATTTTTAAATATTCATTAACAAGTTAAATATGCTTAAACCTTTTGGTAATGGCTGTTAATATATTCGTAAAATATTTGTTTAAATGAATTGTTTGCAATTGTTTGATAACCCTTTTTGTTCATCATATTTGTGATAAAATCCCAAAAATGTTTTTTATTCCATCTAAAAGGACCCAATTCTCTGACAGTTGTGTCCACACAATGGCATAATGTGGTAAATCTTTGAATATCTTCTTCAGTTATTTGTGACAATTTACTTAACATTTTCATTGCTTTTGTTTCAAATGGTTTACGGCTTATTGTTTTGCGTTTAATTCTTCGAGAGTTGTTACGAGCAATTGAATCGGTAAATGTCTTCATCAAACTGGCAGTCATTAATGACCGACTCACCGGTGTTAATGTGGGTGAGGGGTGACTCACTTTACCACTCATTTCTTGATTAGCACTCACTTTACTAACACTTCTCATATTTATGGCAATATTTTGCAACGATTCTTGTGTTTCAGGAATTCTGTCACTACTTTTGGTCTCACTTTTGGTGTTTGTGTTTGAATTGCATTCAAATTCTCGTTTCATATTTACAACAGAATTGCTATTAATATTGACATTACTTCTCAATTTCTTGGACACGAATTCTGTGCTATCATTCGGGCGCTTATTATTTAAATGATAAGTACCGGTGCTCTTAGTATTACCGCTATTTAACTGGTTTTCGGTTGAATTCCGTTTCGCTGACACTTTCATCCTCTCATCGCTATTGTGTTGATTGAAGTATTTGATTGAATGCTGGATCTTATTAAACATCCTTTTGCTCAGCGATTCACTCAAATCCATGCCATGAAGTAATGCAAAGAACGGCAACACTCGCACTGCTCTCTCATAACTGAATACATATTTTAAGACCTGATCAACGAATATAATAACAATTAAAATAAGATTATTGTATTTGATATTTTATTTAATATTGTAGAAAATATCGGTACCTTATTATAAACCTTAATATATTGGCGAAATAATGACTGAAAAGTTTTGCTATTGCCTTTGTAACCATTTTTGTTCATTTTATTTGTGATAAAATTCCAGAATCTTTCGCGAAATTGTTTAAAAGGTCCCAATTCTCGGACAGTTGTGTCCACACAATCGCATAAAGCGTTCAATCTTTCAATATCTTCTTCGGATAGTTTGGACACAAATTTATAGACTTTTTCCATAGGCTTTGGTTCGCTTCCGTCCTTAGGTCTAAGAAATATGTGCTCAGACTTTGATGGCTTTTGTTTACCAGAAGTCTCGACCAAACTTCTAACATTTGATGGCTGACTGTCCGGTACTAATGTGGATGAGAGTTGACTGATGTTACCACTGATGGACTTTATTTCTCGATTTGCAATGATTTGGCCAACAGTTCCCTTATTTATGGCTATTTTTAGCGGCAATTCTTGTGATTCCGTAATATTGTCACTACTTTTGGTGTTTGTGTTTGAATTGCATTCAGATTCTTGTTTTATATTCACAACACAATCGTTAATAATATTGGCATTACTTTTCAATTTCTTGGGTACAGTTCCTATGCTATCAATCAGTCGTTTATTATTTGAATTAATTTCTTGTTTAATATTTCTCTTCAAACCAATGCCTGTCTCTATAGTGAGTGGACTACCGGTGCTCTCATTATTAACATTATTTAATTGACTGTTTGAATGCATTTTCACAAACACTTCATTCCTCTGTTTATTATGACTGCTTTTAATAACCGATTCTTCGATGGTTTGTCTGTTTGTATGACCACTTGAATGACTTATTGATTGATGTCTTGTCTTAACTTCTTTGACTCTAATCCGGGATAAGTTCTCGA